CTCAAACTCCTCCAGCTGCCCTCGCAGGTGTTCGGGAACGCTGAATGGATCCATGCTGCTCAGGAACATCCTGGAACATCACACGCACAACGTCACCGAAACTGACCCGCTTCACGTATGTGACACGCAACAGCTCTGAACTCACAAAGCGTCTTCCTCGGAGAACAGCTCATCTTCCTCATCCTCATCCCTCGGGTGTCCACCTCTCATTCCAGACAGCACAATAACAGACTGAAACACACAGACACACAGATGAGCATCAAGCATGCCGGGGTCCTGCGCCGCGGCACTGACCACGCTCACCTTTAACTCCTTCTGCTTCTTCTTGCGATGCCTGTTTTTACTCTTAAATACTGAGCTCTGAAACACACACACAGAGAGAGAGTCATCTACTCAAACTCAGACTAAGCACTTCAGAATGAACGCTTCAGCACGCGTCTCTTACCATGTGCTCGTCATCATCCGTCTTTTTAATGACTAAACAAACAGCGTCTAAAGACACAGAAACACAATCATTTAATTAAAAACTCCCTTCACATATAAAACACTTGTTCTGATTTACATACCGTCTTCAAAATATTGATCGAGAATGGAGTGACAGGAGTGATAGCGCTCTCGATTCGACTCTAGAGTCCAAATAAACAGACGCTTTTCTTTAGCCGGAGCCTGTCTTAAGTACTCCATTACAGTTAAACCGTCACGGTCAAATAATTCCGGAACGGTGCCGAACTTCTCGATGAGCGTCTCCTGCAGCGGTGCGAACGTGAGCAGAGGCTTCAGGTCCAACTCCTCCAGATGAGAGCTGTAACGACTGACGAATGACTCCGTGGCTTTCAGACCTGACGGAGGAGACACACATCAGACTGATTAATGATGGACACTTGTACACAATATTCAGTCGTGAAAACAGCGACGTTTAGTCAGAAGATGTGGAAGTGAACAGCTGTGTGAATGAAACGCACCAGCGTTATCGAGCTGCTGAGCCCATTGCTGCAGTTTGGGTTTGATATGAAGCGTCAGGCCGAGCGTTTCGATGAAGACTCGAGCCCAGACCCGGTTTCTGGACTCCAGCAGAAGATCCACCAGCTCCCACAGAGGTCCTGGGTCTCTACGGCGGTTTAACACGCTCTCATGTCCTTTACTCTCAAATAAATCCAACCACGGCCGCAGATGCTCCAAAAAGCAAGAAATATTCACTGACTCTTCTTTAAAAAGTCCTTTGTTATCATGAATTTGATGTAAAACACGGTCCACATAAATACAGTCTCTGGGTGGCTCTGCGGGAACGATAAGAACAGAGATACAGTGTTATTAACAGCTGTTCTCATCCAGGGGTCCGGGGCCCACCAGAGGGCCTCAGAAATTACTTACAATAATTTAAATTAAGAAAAAACAAGCAATATAGTTCATCCAAAAATGAAACTTCTGTCATTTACTCACTTGTTTCAAAGCTAACCGTTTGAGTCTCATTTTGAAAGTGTGATTTCTAGACCTTGAATCACGGGTGGAGGTTTGATTGTGGCATTGGTGGAGACGTAACGGCAGACAACAGATATTTAATTGTTTGATCAAAATTATTGCTAGGATTAATTTAGCAGTGGCTGATATTAGTAGGGAACATGTCATAGCGTCTCTACTAAACTCTGCACCCTAGCCTTAAAGTCCTAACTTCATACGCATTATTATAATGATATGTATTTGGATACCTCTCTCTGCCGTAGGGTCTTTAGAGGCGTCCGCAGCTGTTACTTCCTTTCTCTCTTGACAGGCAGAACGTGTCGCCAACTTGTGTTGTTTCCGCCAAAGCTTTCGTTCATTTTTAGACTTCAACTTCTTAATACTGTCGAGGTACAAAGAGAGAAGTCAGCGCCATCGACAGATGCAGCTTAAGTATGAAATACGATGCGTAAGACGCATTAACGTCACCTTGTACATTGCTGCTTGATTCTCAATCGTCCAGCAGGTTTGATTTTAGGAATAGATGTTTTAAACTGAGAGAAGAGGAGAGGTAAGCAATGTAAGCAAATGATACATCAGTGTGTGTGTGTGTGTGTGTGTGTGTGTGTGAGAGAGAGTGTGAGTGTGTGAGAGTGTGTATGAGTGTGTGTGAGAGAGTGTGAGTGTGTGTGAGAGTGTGTGTATGAGTGTGTGTGAGAGTGTGTGTATGAGTGTGTGTAGGAGTGTGTGTGTGTGTGTGTGTGAGAGAGAGTGTGTGTGAGTGTATGAGTATGAGTGTGAGTTTGTATGAGTGTGTGTGAGAGAGAGTGTGTGTGTGTGTGTGTGTGTGTGTGTATATATGAGTGTGTGTGTGTGTGAGAGAGTTTGAGTGTGTGTATGTATGTGTGTGTGTGTGTGTGTGTGAGTGTGTGTGAGAGTGTGTATGAGTGTGTGTATGAGTGTGTGAGTGAGTGTGTGAATGAGTGTGTGTGAGAGTGTGAGTGTGTGTGTATGAGTGTGTGTAGGAGTGTGTGTAGGAGTGTGTGTAGGAGTGTGTGTGAGAGAGTTTGAGTGTGTGTAGGAGTGTGTGAGTGAGTGTGTGAATGAGTGTGTGTGAGAGTGTGTATGAGTGTGTGTGTGTGTGAGTGAGTGTGTGAATGAGTGTGTGTGAGAGTGTGAGTGTGTGTGTATGAGTGTGTGTAGGAGTGTGTGTAGGAGTGTGTGTAGGAGTGTGTGTGAGAGAGTTTGAGTGTGTGTAGGAGTGTGTGAGTGAGTGTGTGAATGAGTGTGTGTGAGAGTGTGTATGAGTGTGTGTGTGTGTGAGTGAGTGTGTGAATGAGTGTGTGTGAGAGTGTGAGTGTGTGTGTATGAGTGTGTGTAGGAGTGTGTGTAGGAGTGTGTGTAGGAGTGTGTGTGAGAGAGTTTGAGTGTGTGTGAGTGTATGAGTATGAGTATGAGTGTGTATGAGTGTGTGTGAGAGTGTGTGTGTGTGTGAGAGAGA